TGATAATACCAACATGGGCCAGTGAAGCGACGTCCTCCACAACTAGACTGAAGAACAAAAGGACAGCAACTTGTCTGTTCCCTTTCCCTGATTCCCCAACGCTGTTGCCCTCCCCCAATTCCCCAATAAAATCTTTGAAAAAGAAAAAAAGATTGCACAGTGAGTTAGTTACAGAGCTGGGTCCTAACCCAGGTAGGTCCGGTTCCAAAGCTCTATGCTCTTTTCCTACCACATTGGACTGCCTGACCCAGTGGGAAGTGCTAAAGGCCCTGAGTAAAGTGTCCTGGATAGATTAGCCTGGCATGAGGGGAAGAAAAGGGAGAGAAAGATGACCAAGGAAAGCATTATTGAGGCAGAGACATTTGAGATGGGCCTTCAAGAACAGGTAAAATTCCAGTGTGGGGAGATAATGGGGAGGGATCGTATGAAACAGGAAAAACAGTGGCCCCAAATGGGCTACAAGGTAGTTGTCTAGAGACCAAGTGACCAAGGCTTGACTTGGGGCAGAGGCAGTGAGGTTGGAGATTGAGGGACCAATGGCAGGGAGGTATTCTAGATGCAGAGTCCACACTGGTGTGATGACATACGGGAGGGTAGCTCAGAAATTTCCTTGAGGCTGTAAGGACAGCTGGTTTTTAACTGAAGCCTATTATGTGTCTTGATTTTTAAGAAACAGCAGTGTGGGGACAGCTCTTTCAGATCATTTCCAGCTCCCTGGAGTGGGAACAGTGTTTAGAGAAAGTGGAGAGGGAAGGAGAGGAGAAGAAAGGGAACACACTGAGTCCCAAGTACATGGGGGCACTGAGGCATGTCCTGTTATGGATGTGAGAAGTAGTTGTCATATAGCTGATGCTCTTTCCCATACTTAGGCCCAGGAGGCCTGTTCAAGACAAGTAGAGACAGAACAAGAGTCGAAGCTGACTGATTCTATAACACCTACAACACTTGTGCTATAACATGCTGTCTCCCAAGTCCCTTCCCGACACTCAGCTCCTTTGTGGTCTTCTCTCCCCAGTATCGGTGCTCTTGTGGGCCTGTCCATAGCAGCGGTGGTCCTCCTGGCCTTCATTGTCACTGCCTGTGTGCTTTGTTACCTGTTCATCAGCTCAAAGCCCCACAAGAAGTTGGACCCAGGCTTAAGCTTACAGACTACAGGTAAGAAAGAGGCCTTGTATTCACCAGGCTGGTATTTTTACAGAGGGGAGATATTTAGAAATGAAGTTTGGAACATTTATCCCATAAAGTGTTCCTGGAATATTCAGAAACAGTAGCACGTTTCTCAGGACATTTCATGATCTGAACATGCCCATCCTAAACTTTTCATTTGCTTAGTGTTTATCAAAATAATTTTATATAATCAGCATTCTGTTTGTTACACAAAGATTAACCCATCTTGTGGGGTTTTTTCTAACACAATGTTTTAATTCTAGCCTTAGAAAATGCAGACTGATTTTAATATTACCCACACAAAACACGATTAATAAGAAAAATTTGCTGCTCTCCAAATTTAATTTATTTAGACACTAAATATAGGTATTTTTCGATAATCTGATGTTCTAGACTACTCATTTCTTTGTAGCACAAGTCACCTAGAACCTCTCTACGGGGCCATCAAAAAAAAATGTTGCTTTTTCACAAGTTGTTATTGCGAAAGATACAAGTCCCTATTGACTAAAGATCTTTTAGTATAGTTTGGTAGACAATACTCAACATGGGTAATATTATTTACATTTTACCAATGAGAAAATCAAGACTGAGAGAGATCAGGTGACTTGCTCAAAGTATCACAGCTAATAAATGGTTAAGGCTGAAATCCAGCCCATGTCTTTCTGTCTTGAGTCATGCTCTTTCTTCTGCCCACCATACTGGGCCTGTACAGGTGTGTCACTAAGCACAAAATTATGTGATATCAAATGTAAGGAGGGTTTCAAAAAGAAAAGCAGACTGAATTAGTGTTGAGTTAGTGAAGGAGTTGGTTGGGCAAATAGAGGAACAAATGCATTCCAGGATAGAGAAAATAATGGGTAAAGGTGTGTGGGCAGGATTGAGTGAAACCTATGCAGTGACAGGGTCATTCACCCTGGGGCACCATAGAGAGTAAGGCCAGGCTGGACAGGGGAGGAATTGAAGCTAAACAGAAGAAGCAAGAATGGCAAACATCAGGGAGGGAGAAGGGGCAGGGTGGGTAATAGCTAAGATTTAGAGAAAGACAGAGAGGGCTTTTTCATTTGTAAAAAATTAATTTTCTAACTTAACAACAAACTGGGGCAACAAACAACAGTACCGGAACCCTTCTCAGATCCTGATGACTATGAATAATCCTGCTGTGGCTGAGCAGTGAAGAACAGGAGGAATGGCTTTTGAGGGTGGAAGACCTGGGAGGCAGTGGCAGGAGAATAGGAAGAAAGCCTGAGCATAGTCCGAGCCTTAGGGAGACCAGAGACAGCCCAGACTTCAACTTTAATAGAGAAAAAAAATCATAAAAGTTAATGAAAGGCATAAAAGAACCTATCTGATGAGATATGGCACATATATGGATAGGAAGGCTCAATATCATAGACATATCAGTTCTTTCCAAATTAATCTATAAATAAAAATCCCAACAAAAGGTTTCATGGAATTTGTCAAATTGACTCTAAAATTAATCTAGGAGAGTAAAGGCTCAAGAATGAACAAAACGGGCCGGCTGAGTTGCTCAGTTGGTTAAGAGTTAGCTTAAGAGCATGAGCTCTGAGCAACAGGCCCACCAGTTTGAGTCCCACATGGGCCAGTGATGCTGCGCCCGAGCTGAGCTGCCAATAGGTGGCAGGATGGCTGAGCTGGTGAGAGCACATGCTCCTAACAACAAGACTGCCTGTTCTANCAGTTCGAGTCCAGCCCGAGCTGAGCAGCCGCTGAGCTGCCAACAGGTAGCAGGATGGCTCAGCTAAAAAAAAAAAAAAAAAGAGCTGAAGACTCCCTTTGGACAAGCAGCTGGTCCTGTCACTGTCTGCTCCACCTTCTAGTCACCTTCTATTAGTAGTTCTGTTTTTGACCAGGATGTGAGCCAAAAGGCTTAGAAACCTTGCTGGTGGGCAGAGTTGGTGGTCAGGCACTGTATATTCACTGTCTCATTTAATCGTTATGAACACCTGGTGAATTAGGAACCTTTATGAATGAAGAAAATGAAGATTAAGAGGTAAAGGATTTTTCAGCTTATACGTGACAGAATCAGGGTTCAAACTTAGAAATGCCTGACTCAAAAGCCCTAACAAATGTTAGACTGCCCCTCCAATTCTTTTCTAGGGTGTCACAGTGGTTAATCTCTTTCAGAGTCATAAATCTTAGCTAACAGCTCTTCAATCCAATTTCCCACCCAGAGCAGGAATCTCTAAATTCACTGAAATGTGTACTCATCCAGGTGTTCTGGGCAATCCTGTCCAATAAATAGGGAACTTACCACCGCATGAGGCAGTACAATCACCATGGGACAACTCTAACCACTTAAAGTCCATCTTATACCAAGCACAGATTTTCCCTCTTGGGGTCTCCCCTGCTCTGTCCCAGCTCTGCCCTTGAGGGCTGATTCCTCTGTCCTGACAGACCACCGAAGACAATGCCCACTCCCTGATTGACCAGTTATCTGGGATATAAGCCCCCAGCTCTCCCACCCACTCCTCAAAGGACCCTATTTTGAGAGGGCCCTTTCCATCCAGATGCCTATAGATGTCCCTCATGAAAGGCGGGGTCCCAACCTGAGCACAAGTCTCCCAAATAAGAGCCTTATAAACAGTGAGTAAAACTCAAAAGAGGAAACAATGTTTAATTAAAGTACTTACAAGAACTAAATGTACTACATACTCTATGTGGAAAATGTGGACAGGACAGGAGAAATAAAGAAAGAAATCCTGCTCTGAGCAACAGCGGTTCGATGCCTGGCCCGAGCTGAGCTGCCGCTGAGCTGCCAACAGGTGGCAGGATGGCTCAGCTAAAAAAAAAAAAGAAAGAAAGAAATCCTGGAAGATCCAGTGTCTTAGCTTGGGTTCCCCATACGACTCAAAGAAAAGGATTTGAGGGCAAGTAGTTTATATGAAAAGCCATCCTAGAAAACACTGGTAGAGGGTGGGGAACTGAGGATGGGGAAGGGAAGGAGCTAACCATGGTGTTACCAAGCAAGAGTCACCACTGAGGGTCACCAGAGCTTAAATCTGCTAAACTCTGCCAGCCAGTGTAGAACCTATACTTCAGAGTCATCCCTCCTGAGAGCCAGGAAGCTAGGTATTTACATACCAATTTCTGTCAGTCATTGGTTGTGTGCTGGTATGAGAGGGGAGGCATTAATTTTCCTGCACTTCTGACCTGCTCACTGTGCAGACAGAGACTGTTCTGGGCCCAAGAAAACCCTCAGGCAAAGAGATACAAATGCCGGCATTTGAAACTCTGGCCAGACTATTTCACAATTATAAGACCCAATGGGACATGGATAGGACATCCACAGCCTGGGCTACACCCAGAGACAGCCTGTTAGCATTTTGGTATATTTCCATCCAACCTTACATATGTACAGTTACGTATATATTTATGTTTATTTAGCTGAGTTGGGGTTATGCAGTATATTTAGTAGTGTCCTACTCTTTTCACTTAACATTATCTCATCAGAATTTAGCCTTGATGTTACATATTATTTAAAAATATGTTTTTAATGGCTCTTTACTATTTCATTGCAGGTGTGTCCAATCATTTATTTAGCTGTGGGAATGCAGACTCTCCAAAGCTCTAAGGTGTCTGTTTAATGGAAATTAATCATCAGCTACTTAGCCATCAGCTAGCTGGTAATGAAATCTGAAAGAAATAGCAAGGGCAGGAGTCTGGGGCTGGGGTCCAGGAGGCGGTGGGCAGAAAAGCTGGAGGGGTCTGTGATATTATGATTTATAAGCTATTTGGCCTTCATCAACAGTTCCTGGCTCACAGCTCCCCCAAAGCTTGGGATTTCCTAGGTGCTGAGAATGATAAAGGTTGTCTTTTGTTATGTTAATGAGGTGACTTTTGGACCCCACCCAAGGGTAGGGGACTGGTTGCCAGGAGAACTGACCATAGGATTAGAGGTTTGGTACTTTCCCCTCCACTCTCCTGACCTCCAGGAGGGTGGAAGGGCTGGAGACTAAGTTCAACTGTCAGTGGCCCACCACTTAGTCAATCATGACTACATAATGAAGCCCCCATAAAACCCCAAAAGGACAGCTCATTGGTCTTGTTTTTGGAATGCTTCCATGTTGGGGAACCAGAATGCTTCCAGGTGCCACTGTGTCCCAAGCCCCACAGAAGCTCCTTTGTTTGGGACCTCATCCTATGTATCTTGGCACCTGGCTATTGATTCATAGCCTTTAATGTCCTTTATAATAAATCAGTAATCTATTGAGTAAGTAGTTTTTCTTGAGTTCTGTGAGGCCCTCTAGCAAATTAATCAAATCCAAGGAGGGGGTCATTGGAACCTCCAACCTATAGCTGGTTAGTCAGAAGAACAGGTAAGAGCCTGGGCTTGCAGCTGGTGTCTGAAGTGTGTGTGTGAGGGGGGGGGAGGCAGTCTTGTAGAACTGAACCCTTAACCTGTGGAATCTGATTCTATCTTGGGTAGATCATGTCAGAATTCGGTAGATCATGACACCCTACTGGGTCGGACAATTGCTTGATGGTGTGGGGAAATCGCCACACACATGTTGGAATTAGGTCTGGAAACCCTTTTCAGAGTCGTAGACAAGAAGAGCACACAAACAAAGCCTGGTACCTACCTATCTCCTACCTTGGGAGAACATCTGACAGTGCCTGGCACATAGTAGGTACTCAGTAATATTTACTAACTGCCTACTATGTGCCAGGGCTTGTTCCAGGGGAGGACACAGCGGATTAAATATGATCAGAATCTGCCTTCAAGGAACACACAAGTACCATGTTGAACACCTACTATGTGCCAAGAATATGACATATATCATTCATCCTCCTACCACCTGTGAGGTGCTGTGTTTTGATCATTCTCACTTTTCAGACAAAGAAACTGAGACTCCAAAGGTTAAACAACTTCATCAAGATTGCACTATGAGGGCCGGCCAAGTGGCACGTTGGTTAAGAGTTGGTTTGAGACACCAGCCCTGAGCAGCAGGGCCCAGGTTCAGATCCCA